ATATAGTTAAATACAATAATTAATAATTATATTATTCTATAAATAAAATAATTTTAAATTTTAAAGCGATCCAGTAATTGTGTTTGAATGTTGTAAATCTTGCAATAATATACATTTTTATTTATTGTGGATGAGTGAATTATATAGACAAGTCTTTTTTCATTATAATTTATTTTTATTAAATCATTGATTAAACATAAGTTACAGATAGATTAACAAAATGTTTAAATGTCGTACACCCAAATGATTGGCCAATTGTGCGACAAACAAACGCGTTCGACAATTATAATTACGACAAATAGATGCCTTTGACTGTATACATTGACAAAGAAAAACTAATTTAATAACTGTTAATTATTGTGAACATTTAATTATTTTGAAACTATTAGCAGAGACAATTTCGAGTTTACTTGTTTTCTTGTATTTTTAGTATATTTCTCTTATTTTATAAATATAAATCCAGTACAACTTCCCAAAATCGGAAGTGTGTTGTAATTATTGTTCTTTCAAGAGAAGTCATTTAGCCAATCAAACCTTAATTACGACTTATTAAAGAATTTTATTTTTACTCTAAAAAATACCCACTTTTGGAAGGTTTTTCTGTATTATATTCTATGGTAGTTATATTAAAAACCATGAAAACATCGAGAAACAAATAAAGAACTCAAAACATACATTGATTTACACCACATGTAGTGTTGGTGTGCATTACAAACTTATCAAACGCAAAAAGTTTGATACAATACACAATATGATGAATTTCTATTTTTAATTATAACGTTTGAATAGTTTTTGTGTCACTCTCAAAAGCGTACAACCCGACGCACTTGGTCTCCTTTGGTACCAAAATTTGCGTCAACTTTTTGCACTTGGAAAAAGCGAAGTTCCCGATCTTCCTCAGTGTTTTGTGGAGTTTGACTTCCTGCAAGTTCTTGCACCCTCCAAAGCAGTTGCTTCCAATTTCTATGACGCTTTCCGGGACTTTCACTTTTTTGATTCTTTCACAATTAGCAAAAGCGCTGTCGCCAAGTTTTTTGAGCGACTCGGGGAGCTCCACCTCTTCGAGTGCAACACAATTGAAGAAACAGTAGTCGCCGATTTCCACGAGGAACCTCGGGAGTTTCACTATCTTCAAATTGCAACACTCCGCAAATGTAAAAGCGCCGAGAGAACAAATTGACTTTGGGAGTTCAATGAAATGAATGTGACTCTTTTTCGTGTCACTGTTATTCTCAAGACTTTCACTTTTAAAGAAGTGCAAGAAATTCTTTTGGACGCGTTGGCGCGACAGTTCGACGATCTTCGTGTTCTTCTGAAACGCTTTGCTTGCAATCGAACGAACGTTTTCAGACATTTTTGTCCCCAACACTTTCTCGTCGTCTTTTGTGAAGACGACGTTCTTGAAGAGGACGTTGTCGTCCTTTTTCGAGTCTTCTAAAGTCGCAGTGACTTGGTACCAAACAACAATTTGAAAGAAATCGACCTTCAGTGTCACTCGTTTGTTTTCAGTGTTCTCTTCGTTGTTATTTTCAGTGCTTTTTCTTGCAATTTGATTACCAAAGGATTCGTCTGTTTGTGTGTATAAATGAAGTGTTTCGATATATGAGAAGTGCTTAATAGTGTTCCAAGTTAATGGTATTGGATTGTAATGGAAGAGTTCCATAAAGTGGGTATACCGCTTATTGATGTTTTCGACTGTAATAAAGTCATTGAGTGTGTTAAAGTACTTTGCGACGACCATCATGTGATATCGAGAGAGTTGTGTCATCTCTTAAATTTCTATTGGTATGGTCTTTTGAAGGTCAACAAAGTGTTTTTATATGACGGAAGTGATCTTCTCCAATCAAATTGTCTTTGGTGTTATAATGAAGAGGACGGACTTTCGGGTTTAAAGGCCTATATTTATCTAATCTTTTTTTAAAGGAGAATTTGAGCAATTTCCGGGAATCTATTTGATCTTTGAACATTTACTTGATGAAAATCGAACGGTAAAGTCAAGAAACAAAGATGAAGAATCAAAATAACTGTAAAATGGTTCTTTGGTTCTATAAAAATCAAATTCATTTGGAATGGAGTGATAAAAAACAAGTTAATTTTTACCCATTTTTTACTTGAATTATCCTTAATTTTTTGTTAAAATGTTTGTTTTGTTGTCTTTAGAAAATAGTTGAAAGTACTTAAATTTTATACAACAAATCAGGAAAAGTCATAATTTATTTGCTTTTTCGTATTCATTTTTGTCGTTTTTTTAATTATCCAAAAATCAACTATTATTAATAGTTTATTTTGTTATAAATACCATTTTGTTAAATGGTATATTCATTTTTGGGATAAAAGCACCACCCTAATCTTTGCTTCCCAAAACAACTCTTATGATTATTTAAATCACAGAATATAACACTTTTAATGTTGAAAACCAGTTTGCCTGTAAAAAAGTGTATTTTTGCGATGAATTTTCTTTTAATAAAAAAACTCAAATCAAAGGAACAACCATCTATTTATAATTTGGAAACTATAAAAATGACCAGTCAAAGACCTCCAAATGTTGTAACAAATTACTTCAGAAAAAGTCAGAAGTTTCTGACTTTTTCCATTTTTTTGAATTTTTTTCGTTTTCTTGAAATTTTCCATGTCAATTTTATATTGGCTATTATATCGGATAAACAAAACTACGAAAAAGAAAAAAAGAAGATGTTGTATTCATATCATGTTATACTGAATTCCGATATATCCAAAAGTTTACTTGTCGCATTTTTTCGTTTTTTTTTGTATTTGTTTCTTCTTATGTAATTTTTCAACAATATCCAGCAAATATATCGACTTTATTAAATATTAAACAAAAAAATTATCGTTATTAATATCAAAATGGATATAAAAGTAACCGAACAAAATGAGTGGAGTAAAATGGGTGAAATACAACTTTCCATTATCGCCCAATTTAAAATAAAATAACTAGTAACTAAAATAACCAATAAATAATAATGGGCATTATTTCAAATGTAGATTTATTAGTGTTTAATTAATTTTTTTGGTATTAAGATTATGAAATTTTTTTAAATAAATAATCTATATTTAGAATACTTGTTATTGTCTAAATATATAAATCAGGTCATTTTTTATCAAAGCTGTACGATAATGAGTTTATTACAGGGTTTTTATTTATTTACAACAACATAATTTTATGTATATATTCGTATGTATAAATAATTAATTAATTTAACATAAAATATCATTTAATTTACATTATTTTTTTTATTGAAGGTGTCTTTATTTATTCATTCAAAAAATTAAAAAAAAACATTATAATTTCTTCTTTATTACATCTTTATTATAATTTATATAAACATATAACACAAAAAGTCATTTTACTAATCTTAAGTTTTAAAATCAAGCTTTAATAATCTAACACAAATAAGGAAATAGTAACATCAATATATAGGAGTGTTGCCAATGATTTTTTTATGTTTACCTTCTTCACATAAAAATGAAATTGGGTCTTGAAATTATTGATTATTGCATTATTTTTCAATATTAAGAAAATGAATAATAATAATAATAATAATAATAATAATAATAATAATAATAATAATAATAATAATAATAATAATAATAATAATAATAATAATAATAATAATAATAATAATAATAATAATAATAATAATAATAATAATAATAATAATAATAATAATAATAATAATAATAATAATAATAATAATAATAATAATAATAATAATAATAATAATAATAATAATAATAATAATAATAATAATAATAATAATAATAATAATAATAATAAAATGTTTATATAATAGTATTTTTATATTTGTTTTAATAAAAAAACATTGAAAATAACAAAAATTATTGAATAAAATAACAACCAAATAATATGAATCACATCATGAAGAAGTTGTTGTGTTAGATTTGTAAAAATAATACAATTTAAATGTTAATTATTCAAAAAGGCAATTTTATT